GTTTCAAGCAGCGATGACGACTGAGTTTCGCAACTTGCTCGATCGCAGCGTCCTCATCTACCTTGATGATATCTTGGTTTATAGTAGGACGTTGGACGAGCACATCGTACACCTTCGCGTTGTTTTGAATCGTTTGCGACTAGCCAAGTACAAAGCGAATCTCGACAAGTGCGAATTCGCCAGGCAAGAGCTTGAGTACTTGGGCCATTTCGTCACGCCGAAAGGCATTCGTCCCTTAGCGGACAAGATCCAAGCCATCGAGGATTGGCGGGAACCCCGTTGCACGACGGATGTACGCTCTTTCATGGGTTTGGCTGGATATTATCAGCGATTCGTTGAGTCATACTCGAAAGTGGCCGCTCCTTTGTCGAGACTTCAGTCCCCGAAGGTGCCCTTCGAGTTCGACGACGCAGCCCGTGGYGCGTTCACTACGTTGAAGGCAGCGATGCAAGCCGCACCTGCCCTCCGTATATATGACCCCACCCTACCCACCCAAGTGACTACGGACGCTTCGGGAAACGGTATTGGTGCGGTGTTGGAACAGTGTCACGAGAACGGTTGGCATCCGGTTGAGTACTTCTCCCAGAAGGTGCCTCTCGTCAACACTCTGGATGACGCCAGGAAGAAAGAGCTACTCGCGTTCGTTACCGTCCTCAAACGGTGGCGCCACTTTCTTCTCGGTCGTCGGCGTTTTAAATGGAATACAGATAACAATCCGTTGACATTTTACAAAACGCAGGACACGGTCACTAGTWCGATCGGTCGATGGATGTATTACATCGACCAATTCGATTTTGACCCGTGTCACATTCCCGGTCCCGCCAATCGAGCTGCGGACGCCCTCTCACGACGGCCCGACTTTTGTGCCATTGTGACCACGGCATTCGACCTCGATGACGATCTGCAGCAGCATTTCGTCAAAGGCTACAAGTCCGATCCGACTTACTCTACGCTTTACGCAGAGCTTTCATCGGATCACCCGCCGGCTAGCCATTATCGGATTTCCGACGGGTTCCTTCTCCTTCACACGAGAGGAAAGGACTTGTTAGTTGTGCCCCAAGATCGCATCTTACGGACTCGTCTTCTCGGCGAATTCCACGATGCACGACTTTCGGCACACCTTGGCGTGAGCCGCACACTAGCACTCCTCCGCCAGCGTTTTCATTGGCCCGACGTCCTTCATGACGTCATGAGGTACATTGAGTCATGTGCAGTTTGCCACCGTAACAAGGGTCGATCTCGAGTCCCCTTCGGCGAACTGAAACCGTTGCCGATTCCTCGGGCACCACGCCTCTCCATTGCTATAGACGTGACAGGCCCGTTTTCTCGCGATCGCCACGGCCATGACAGTATTCTCACGGTCGTTGACCGTTTGAGTAAGTATGCTCACTTTCTTCCTTGCAAGTATCATGCTGCAGCGCCTGAGCTTGCACGACTCTTGCACACCGGTTGGATTACCAACCAAGGTGTTCCGGAAGACATAGTGAGCGACCGAGACACTCGCTTCATGTCAGCCTTTTGGACTTCTCTCATGATTGAGTCCGGCATGACAATGAAGCCGAGCTCGGCTCGGCACCCGCAGACGGACGGTCAGACGGAGCGAGCACACCAGACCGCTCAGATGATGTTGCGTACGCTCATCCGTCCCGACCAGAAAGACTGGGTTGACCGGCTTCTCGACATCGAGTTCGCCTACAACACTTCGGTGCAACCGGCGATCTGCGTCACACCATTCGAGCTACATCATGGTGGAGAGAAAGCACGGATCTTCGCTGATCTCCTTTTGCCACAGGCTGCCGACATAGACGTCCCTTGCTATCTCGCTTCTGTCAGGAAGTATCGGGACTTGCTGATCAAAGCCCGCGCGAATATGCAAAAGGCTCAGGTCCGCATGCAGCAGCAAGCTAACCGACGTCGACTTCCATGTCCTTTCCCCGAGGGAGACCTTGTTTGGGTCCTCTCCGAGGAATTTGCGCTCAAGCAGGATGTTTCGCGCAAACTCCTTCCGAAATGGTTCGGACCATGGGAAGTCACTTATGCCGTTGGAGACGACCCCGCCGGTCCTTCCTTCGTGGTCAACATTCCACCGCACCTAACAGTGCATCGGGTCTTCCATGCATCGAAGTTGGCCATCTACATGCCACCTCCAGCTGACGAATTCCCCGGACGTCGATCAYAGGATCCGCCTTCTATGGACGGACATCAGGAAGTTGACCGAGTCATCACGCACSGCAAGTATGGCAACAAGCCAAGGCAGTACAAGGTCACATTCAAGCAATGTGCGCCTGATGACACTCGGTGGATCTCCAGTGAAGATTTGCAGATTTYTGCACCCCTCATCTTCGCAGACTATGAGAAGCGACGCCTTGCTAAGGACGCAGCTCGTCCCGCCCGACCCMCCCCGGTATCGGACAGACAACTTCGCCCTCGCAGGTAGCTCGGACTTTTAAGAGGGGGAGTGTGTTACATCTTCGACTCACACGGGTCCTACCGGACCCGACTTAGGGCCGGAGGGACACACCAGGGCCTAAAGGCCCGACCTTTGGGGTTACAGGCCCTAAAGACCTGATTTTGGACCATCACCCATCGGGTAGGCCCAAACGACACTTCGTTTGGGCCTGGCGGCGCTCTTGAAGCTGCCGCCCGCCGATTGAGGCTGAACCGTCCATCTGGATGGTTCAGGGTCTGGCCTGGCCTCGCAGCATTGAGGCCAGACCATTGCCCACCGGTATAAGTACCGGTATCCGCCTCAATTGAGGGATCAGCCTACCGGAACTCTACCGGCACGGCATGGTCAGTGGTAGAGCACTGTTTTGATGCGCTAAACTTAGCGCAGGGGCTGAAGCAGGAGCGCAGCAGCGAGCGGAGCAGCAGCAGGGCGACTGAGCCAGCACGGCGGCCATTGCCGCCTGAGGTATCGGGAGCTTGGAGGGTCTCTCCTCCTCTCCCTCGCCAGTCCCCTCTCTCTCTCTCTCCTCTTCCTCCTTCTTCTCCTCCTTCTTCTTCTTCTTCTTCTCCTTCTTCTTCTTCTTCTTCTTCTTCTTCTTCTTCTTCTTCTTCTTCAGATTGGAGACTATCCAGTTGGACAGAGATCAGAGTTGGACTTCGGTGATACGAGACTGTGGTACTTACCTGATTGGAGACTTGGAGATTGTTGAGGTTGATACTCGGCTGCATCACAGTTGGACACCGGTTACATCTGGACTCTGTTATCTCCGACATTGGTGACCTTTGGTCCTCGACATTTTGATCTTGTTATATGACATTCTGGACTACCATTTCGGAGACCTATCAGACTCTATCTTGTGACCTATCGGTGTGATCTACCTCCCACCTCCTTCGTCTCTCCTCCCACCTTTCATCTGTGCATGCGTGTACGGGATCTGGATATCGTCTATGAATGACCCAGACCCCACCATCTCATGATTGTATGTGTGTGGAGTGATGCCATGTAAGTCAGTTGGTGTGAGTCAGTCTATGTGAGTCAGTTCGTTATCAGACTTCCGCTGCATAAATGCTCATCCTATATTGGTTGATCTTTGGTTCTGCCCATACTCATTGAAGTACGTAACAAGTGAGCTACTCGAACTGTGTGTCTGCCCTGGCGTGGCCCAGCTATAAGTAGTGCTGGGCCTCGCGAGTGTGCCTCCGTGTGCCTCTGGTCCTAGGCCTAGAAACGGCCTGCCTGGGTCTCTACCGGACGTCCAGGCCCTCCCTACTGATGCAGCAGGGAGTGTCCACTATCGGACAAAGACGGACCTGGCCCAACAGGGCCTTCCTATGTCCGTACCAGGCCAAAAACGTGGCCTCTGTCCGAACAGACCGAATGTCTGTTCGGACGAACTCCAAGTCCGAAACGGCGCCTGAACAGACAAAAATAGGACAGCAAATAAATAAATTAACGAATGCTGCATCCTGCGCCCCTAAGGCCAGTCGTGGGACTCCAGGCGGCCTGGGGCCCCCCAGCGACCATCAGGCCCCCAAAATAGGGCCCGTGTGCAGGCTCAGCATGTAATATACTCCCTCGGACCACGAATTTGAACAAGGATTATTGTTGCTGTCACTTTTGACCTTTGCAGATGCTTTTGGGTTCCTTGATTGCAGGCGGTAGGCATCAACACTAAGTTATCGGCACCAAATTTGAAAAACAAAAAGCACAAAACGAGGCAAATAAATCCTTGTACAATTTCGTCGCACGAGCAAAATGTTTCAAATTTAACGAAAAGTTGGTGTATTGGCAAGGTGTTTCCAGGAGGAACTTATTTTTCGTCACTCGTACACAGAGAAGTTGATGGTTACAGAGGTAGTGAGTGGAAGAAGAAGAGCGTGGCATCCTGGTTGAAGGGGGAATGCAAGTAGGGCATTGCATTAATTGACTAAGATAGTATTATAGTATTATTTGAGGTTGTCTGCCTCCTATTATTTCTCTTCCTTCGTCTGGACTCTGCTCTACTGGCCCTCTCTTATTGATTGTCATATTCGTTGAGCTTCATGAGTTACATGCATAGTGTTGATGTTGCAAACTTCTCAGTTTTTGGTTCATCGCAAAGTGGAAGGCAGCAGGAAAATGGTATTTGAGAATTGGATAGTGCTGAAAACAGGCAATGGGCAACAGAATAGCCAATGTATAAGAGTTTCACGCCGCTGGAATTTTCACCTATTACTGTGACAGATGCAGTACCCAGGGCTCGATCCCTAGACTCCCCCCTTACCCACGTACAATACCTGTTGACCCATGTGTGTTTGAACCTGCGACCCGTGTCCTGAAAGTCATATGTTTAGTTGTTGTATATAGTGCGGTCGTCGGGGCTTTAACTGTAGGTCTTCGTTTTAACGGTCGTAGAGTCAATATAGGTCGTAGCTGCTACAGCTCCGAAAGGTCAAGTCCACGACCTTCTAGAAGCTGAAGACTGGCTCTTCGTAGGTTTTAGGAGTCAGCCCGCGTCTGAGTCAGCGAGGGGCAGTCTCAGTCCTACCTAGCCTAGTCAGCGGTACCCAGTCACAGGTTGCACCTTGTCTAGTCAGCAAGTACCGTGTCGGACTGTGTGCACCCCGGGCCCAGGGTCCAAGGGCAGACCAACGGCGATCCGAAGTATAAATAAAGAGGCAGCTGCAAGTCATTCATTCATTCTGCCTGTGAGCCGTGTGGAAGCGCTGTTGGAGCGTCTTGTGCTACGGAGATCTGCAGGTGCCCGAAAAAGAAGAGGGCTAAGATTAGGAAGACGAGTCCATAGCCACGAGGTAGTCAATAGGAGGTAGACGACGGCAGCCATAGCTGTCTGTAGGTTAGTAGTAGAGAGTGAGTGTCTGTGTTGAGTGTGTGTGTGCGGGACATCCAGGGTGATTCGAGAGTGAGGGTGTGTGTGCGAACAAGTTGCTGAAGGATACAGTTGATCAGGTGGGAATCATTGTCTGGCGCCCTGCGCCACAGCCATCAAGACAAGTTTGAATCTGAGCTGTGTTCCTGGCTGCATTTTATCTCTGACCTTTGTGTGGGTGCCATGCGCCAAGTTTGATCGTCATCTGTTTGCATGCATGCTGAGCGAGTTTAAGACAAGTCTGATTGCACTGGTATCGGAGCTGGTTCTCGCTGCCCGCCGTATTCGCGATCGTCGTTGCCCATGTCATCATCGCGGTCGCCATCATCATCGTCGTCGTCATAACGAAGGAGGAGCGCCGTTGTCATTGCTGTCGACTGAGAGAAGTAAAAGAGCCGCCGTTGTTGTGCGCCGTTCGTCGTGCGACATTACCTGCCACATCGCGCGTTGCGTGCCATATCCCTTGCACGCACTCGTTATCTTGCGTGCGCCCGCTTTCTCGCACGATAGCTGCCTATTGCGCAAGTTTGTTGTCTTTGTGCACCGCTGCTCGCCATTGTTGCTGCGCGCTTGCTGCCCTTGTGCGCGTTGCCCGTTATCTCGCACACGCCCCGCTGTTGTTTCGCGCATGCCTGTTGTGATCGCGCCCCGCTGACAATTTGCGCGGTTGCGTGTATCGCCGCGCACACCAAGGAGGAGAGCTGCAGTGCAGGGGCGAAGAAGACCACCATCGCTGTTGAAGGAGAAGATCGCTGCGTGTGCCGAGGAGGAAAATCGAACCGTTGTGAAGAAGAAGGCCGTTGTGCGAAGTTGAAGAAGGGCGGACATAGCCGTCGAGTCCGGAAAGGAAGGAGACGAGGAGGAAGAAGAGAGAGAGAGAGAGAGAGAGAGAGAGAGAGAGAGAGAGAGAGAGAGAGAGAGAGAGAGAGAGAGAAGATTGGTTGTGCAAGGAAGAAGAAGCGGTGGCCATAGCCGCCGAGCTCAGACGTGAAGAAGAAGAAGACCGAAAGTGACGAAGAAGAAGAAGACCGAAAGTGACGAAGAAGAAAGAGACGAGGAAGACGGAAGGAGAGACGAGGGAGAAGAAAGAAAGCCATAGTCAAGTTTGAGTGAGGAAGAAGACGAGGGGAGAGAGAAGGAGGTTTATATAGAAGAAGGGTCGGCAACCATAGCCGGAAGGTTGAAGTAGTCAACGGCAAAAATTGACCGCGCGTTGACCAAGTTTGACCAGGTGCTGACAAAGTTTGACCAGCGTTGACCAAGACTTTGACCAAGCTAGAGTTGGTATAGTCTCTCCAAGCCTTGAGCATGCCCCCTCGCCCTGTGGATGTGCACATACCCTTGGTACTTGCTAAGTCAGTTTGTCTCTTCTTTCTGCATTGAGTCACTTTTGTCCAGGTTGATAGGACTATGTGTATGAGGTCGTTGAGCTGTGGTGACCAAACCAGCACGGGTCTTAGTAGGGCTAAAGGCCACGTCTGATGATTGACACGTCCCGGGGACAAGACCCCCAAGGACCGGTACAGAGAGGCGGGCTGCCCGGTGTGACATGGTAGGCCTGAACTCCGAGTTGTAGGCTGCGCATCCAGCTGTCTTAAGAATTTGAGAGGACTCTGCTGATCACATTGTCCTGACTTCGACATTAAAGAATTCCTGAGGAGTTATGGGGGATCTCCTTAAATGCCTCTTGATCAGCAGTAGAGTCCTGTAGTGACAACCTTAGAGTAGGTTAGGCTAGTGACCATAGTTGACAAGGTTCTAAGCCAGAGTGAAAGCCAGGTGGGATTGATCGCGGGTGCAAGGTGCACTCAGATCTGGAAAGTTTTGGCGGCAGTGGTGGCGAAAGCTTCCGTCGGCCGTGGTAACCTGGCAAGAACAAAGGGGAAGGCTCTGTGGGCTTTAGAGAGTCGGTCAATTAGTCAGTTGGGGGGATAGGTCCAAGTGTTGAGGAGTGGAATTGTTGAGAGTGTGCTTGATCATCATGGTGACCACCACGTCAGGAGCTAACACTACCCCCTATAGTAAGGCCCAAGAGGAAAAAGTTGTCGCCATTCTCAAGGAAAGAAAGGAGAAGATGGAGAAACGAGAGTTGCTCAAGCAAGCGAAGATGTTGGCCCTGCTTTAAGAACAGGAGGCGAAGAAGAAACAAATGGAGGAAGAATTAGAAAGGTGGAAGGAGCAGGAGAAAAAACCTGACGACATTCAAAGCAGAAGCAAAAGCAGAAGCAGCAGCAGCAGCAGCAGCAGCAGCAACAAAAGAAGAAGAAGAAGAAGAAGAAGAGGTGGAGGTCCCCTGCAGAGAACAGTAAGAACTGAAGTGAGAGGGGAGGCTAGTGGTGCGCGAGAGAGGGAAGCGAAGATGGAGAAAATGGTGACTGAGTGGGTGGCTAATCTGGCCCTGGGGGAAGAGGAAGAGGCTATGCTGCTTGTCCCTCAGGCAGAAAGGGAAGCGGTCGTTCAGGAGTTGGAAAGAGAGGAGGACCCCGTGCGCCGACGGGCCAAGGACAAGGAGAAGAGATTGGAGTGGAAGTTGCGCCTTGCGAGAGAGAGAACAAGGCGACTGGAGGCGGCAGAAAAGATGGAGAGAGAGCTAAAGGTTGTTGAAGTGCAACAGGGGCAACTGGGAACACAGGTAGAGAAAAATAGAACTCCTGTCTCAGAACATGGATGTGATGTTGAGAGCCATCAGGAGCAGCCACGTTACCTGAGGGACCATGATATTGCCTTGCAGTCCATGCGCATAGGACTCAAGGATTTTGTAAGAGATATGATGTTGCGTGTTGGCAGGGAAATGCGCACTGCAATAGAAAACACCGAGAAATTTTCCACGGGTGCCATAGAAGGTGCTAAGATAGCAGCCCCTAAGGAAGAGGAGGCAAGGCCGCATTGCGAGCGTGTCAAGGTCAAATTCCCTGAACACTATGGTGGGAAGAAGGTTGAGGACTGGGAAGCCAATATCAAGTCCTATCTACACCTACAAGATATCATGCCTGAGAACCATGTTCTCGTGGCCTTTCAGGCACTGAAGCAAGAAGTGGCCAGCTTTGCTAGGTTGCTTGCATGCGTTGCCAAATGTGACAACGATATGGTCACATACTCTTTCATCACTAACTTAAGTGAGTTTCTGTCCGCCCTCCGTGAACGATTTGCAGACGTCACTAGAGGTCTCAAGGCGTCTGACAAACAGCAGACAATCCACAGGCGACAGTGGAGGAGTGCAAGGGCACTCAAAGTCGCCATGGATGAACTCGTTGCTGTCCCTGGACATGGGGTCATTGAGACCCAACTTGTCCAATTGTTTTACTGCGCCATGCCCTATAATCTGCATGTGCACTTCTTCATCAAAAAGCAACAACCTGACATGACTTATGACACGCTTAGTCGAGCGGTTGTTGCTTTTGAGGCCCAATTTGCGCGAGTTACCACTTTTTGGCACAAGGACCTTGCCAAGGGCAAAAACTGGAAAGGTCAGACCATCACGAGCCAAGTCAAGGCAAAGGATAGTCTTATCCTTACTTTAGAAGAGGGTGGTCTATGACACGCTTAGTCGAGCGGTTGTTGCTTTTGGGGCCCAGTTTGCGCCAGTTACCACTTTCTGGCACAAGGACCTTGCCAAGACCATCACGAGCCAAGTCAAGGCAAAGGATAGTCTTATCCTTACTTTAGAAGAGGGTGGTCTAGAAGAGGTCCCTTACAGCGAGATCGAGAGGGGCCTGGATGAGTCAGACAGTGGTGTAGGCGAGGGGAGTACCTATGCTCATGTCGCGGTCGGAGGGAGGTCGTACGGAAGAGGAAGGGGCCAAGGCCAAGGCAGCCAGGCCTCTGGTAGTCGAGGGCAGGCGGTCAGG